GGGCGAAACATTAGGAAACAAAACTTCAAGAACACGGCCACACAGCCTGGAACACCCACACCAGCCATCGTATGCCGGCCGTGAAAGCCTTTGACAATACAAAAAGGATTATTACAAACTCCTCTGATGATAAAAGTTAACTTTTGTTAAGAGAGTGACAGTATTTTATCATTCTTTTTTTTCCACCAGCAAAGTCCTAGATTGATCATACTGAACATTTCCAGTGTGTGTATGCTTGCAGAACAATGGCTGTTAGCACAATTTTGCCCTACATATTTAATTATCTGCAGAGAAAGAAAGTTCTCTTTCCTTTGTCATGTACAGAGGTACACAGACAGTAATAGTCAAACCTTTTGTTTTGATAATCCACAAACTTTTCCCAGCTAGAATATCATGTCTTAAACAACATGGAACTTTTGAGCCAAGGTTCTCTGGCTATTATCAGGCAAACATATGTTCACAAAGTATGTGTGAACAAGGAGCCAACACAAATGAGCTCTACTATAACAGGTTCATAGTAAAATTAAGAGGGTTAAACCTTAGTAAGTATTTTCATTGATTAATATTAGTAATATGGTAATATACTAATTCAGGCAACTGGACCCTGATGCACCAGTACTACATATAGCCCCCAAATTATCTTTTACCATCTCTGACTGCCATTGTAAAAGATTTGCTTCTACTAGCTCTTAACCTTCTAGTCAGATGGGCAAGAAGCATGCAATCCCATCACCCATGCATAAGTTGAATTCAAGCACTGGTCTCTGTTAAATGTTAATTGGCTCTAAAAATTACAGATAATTAGATGGCAAAATAAAAAAAAATAATCAACTGTTAACCCATGCTAGGGAAGCAATGTTTTTTCAGTCATAACTTTTTGCAGGTAAAATCTTATGTACTAACCGATCTGGAAATGACATACCTTGTGCTTGTAAGCATATTGTGATTATAAACTTTTTTGGTTTTGATTTATAGTTAATAGTTTTTTTAATCCAAAACTTTCCTTTAAGTAATAGAGTTTTTAGTGATCTGTGCAAAGTATTTGCCATTTTGAAAAACTAATGATTTTAAATGTTGTTCCATTATTTGCTTTTAGGTTTTTAAAACATTTTTTGGATTATTATTATTATTACATTTATTTACCTACATTATACTACAGATAATAATCTCTACATTAAATATTCTTATGTTGGGCCACTAAAAGTTTTGATATATCCTCCTGGGCATTCATTTTGTCATTTATACAACAGGTAAAATCCTGGCAATCCCAATAAAATAATAATTTTCCATTTCATTTTTTAAGCATGTGAATTTATCAGAGACTTTCTCAGGCAAAGCAATTGACCTAATCATATCAAGCAACAAAATGATAATAATAGCTAAATAAAGGACTCAATTATCACCAATTTAGGCCTACTACATGCCAATTTAGGCCTACATGGAAGGAATAAAAAAGTTGCAAAGCAGGAAATCTATTTTTTACCTACTTTTAGGAGCAAAGTCAATTTTTGTCTACCAGTGGAAATATCTGCATAATCTTTTGCTTGAAAATTTTATTTCAGGTAATGTCTTTATCTCAGAATGTTGCTGGTCTGGAGACTCAGATTGACAGAATTACAAGGGAAAAGACCTCTCTAACCAATCAGCTGGAAGAAGCTCAGAACCAGCATGCTTCTCGTGAAATGGAGATCAATAAGGTAGAATAGTTTTTGAAAATACAGAAGAGGCAGTTTTCACTAACTCCCATTTTAACTGCATAAATTGACTTTAACCAACTGATCCAGTGAGGGTGGTTGAGCTCTGCCAGCACAAAGGAGCATAAGCAGCAGAGGATCTGCAGTAAGTTCAATCAATAGCTTTGCAAAGGGTCAAATAAGAACTAAAAACCTGAACTTATTGTCACTAAAGTAGTATTAGAAAGTTCTGCATGGTCTGTAGCTGAATAAGAATCCAGCTTCAAAAGTCTTCAATTTCAATCAGCTGGTTGCTGAAATAATGTCTGTATCAGCTTATAGTCCATGCCATAGTCTGTCCTGATGGACCCTTCATCTGAACATTGGTTCTGGTACATATTACAACCTGGACTGACAGCAAAGCATAATCCTGGCTGCCCTATGCTGCAATGAATATTTTCTAGTGTTCTATATTCCTCTATTTGCTTACCTTAATATTAACAGGTGTGTAAATTATATTTCAACATATTTATTTAATTTCTTTTACTTGGAGGCTGAAAAGGTAGGATTATTTTCATTTTGTGTTAAGATGCATGTCTACTTCGTCTCCTATTTTATTTTATAGCTCTTCTAGAGATAAAATTTAGTTCTTAAATTTGCTATCCTAATAGTTTTCCCACATTCTCCCACTTCCTGATAATGAAAGGGGCTAATTTTGTGAGGAAAAATGTTTGTTACTTATTGGCTTTTCTATTAATATTTAAATTAACTCCTGTTATTCAGTATTTTTTCATATAATGGAGAAACATTGCTATAAATGGAGACATTGAGTTAGTCTATGTCATAGAATTTAAAGAGTGTTCATGATTGAAATAGGGAGAAGAACATGATTCCAGCAGAGAATAAATCTAAGCTCAGCATTATTTCAAATACTTTGAAGTCTGATGGCTGGGAATTTTTTTTTTCAGTGTGAATTATTTATTGTAATTCATTGTCTAGATAAAAGATTTGCACTTCCCTCAAAATAAAAATAATTATTTAAAATGAGAGTGGCCAATTTGCATAGACCGTACATGTGATCCCACAGTTCATTTCTCTGGTCACCAGAACCCCTTACATTGTTTTAAATTTGGAAGCAAAATTGTGATTTTGGGTGATATACTTTTTGCCCTTTTTGTTGAATTAAACAGATTAAGTTAACGGCAAACCAATTTTGTGAAAATCACCTAAAACCACCTAATGAGTCAGGGGTGTAACATTTCAGCCCCATCAATCAGTGATAATGTCACTGTGTTATTTCCATGCAGCCCTGCAAACGTTAGATACCTTTTTTTTAAAAAGGGAGGCCCCTGGAGAAAAAGAAGTTGCTAACTCCAGGGTTTATGAAGTGTAAGTATGGAAGTTTCCATCTTGAAGCAAATGTAGAAAAAATAATGAGAATTCTAATATCTGCATCTTAATGATGCATGCAAAATTTGTGAATTCTCCTTGTCTTCTTAAAGTGCCCCATTCCATCGCTTTTTGTTTTCCTATAAAAAGCTTTGAAGAAAATATTTTCTTGTGCTGAGGATGAGTGGGGGGGGGGGGGGAACGGAAATTATATTGCGACAAATAGCAGTCACTGTCTTTCCAGCTACACTACAATAAAATTCCTTCAACATGATGGGATGTCATCCTGTTGCCTCACAAATAGGAATATGTTCCCCCCTCTTTCTCTGTTACTCCTAAAAGGCATAGCAACACAACTCTGACCAGCTAATGCTGTCTATGCTCATTGTATAATTTCTGATTTTCTGGAATTGATTGATGATGGATATATTTTGGCTTAAAGAGCAACAAAGAATGGAATTAGTAGCTGTGTGGCCATGAAAAAAATAATGGGATAAGGAACTCTAGGGCTGCTATGTAAAGTAAGCTCTAAAGCATCATTTTTGAAAATAGAAGTACCATATAAAAACTTACAGAATTCAGTGGAAATGATAAAATAATAAATATATAAAATAACCACTAGAGGGCATCAAACGTTCTTCTCTAAACCAATACTACTTTGTGGAGTCCTGAAACTGCAGGATGTTATCTATTTGATCTAACAGGTGTGTGGAGAAATACGTTATCAATTGAATCAGACCAAAATGAAGAAGGATGAAGCAGAAAAGGAGCACAGGGAGTATAGGACAAAAACAATAAGGGAACTTGAAGTTAAAGATCAGGTAAGAGAGAATACTATATCAAGCAATTTTTAGAAAAATGAGTTTTTTTCCTTCGTGATAAGTATTTTGGGGGTTCTTATGAGAAGAAATCCATTTATTATACTTATTTTAGTACTAGTAAAATATTTTATAAGGACATTTTTTTTCTTCCAATCTTAACATACTCTTTCATGCATGCATGAACAGACATTGTCTATGTGTATGTGTGTTCTGTGATATTCACTTATATACGTTTGTTCTTATATTATTTTGTATTTCAAAAATTAACACAGTAAATCCAAGTGATTCCTGAGAAGCTTACGTTCTAAAAGCACTAAGTAAATTTTATTTTTGTATTTTTGTATTTAAAACATTAATAAAAACTAATAAAAAGTCCAAACTAGAGAATTAATTGCTGATTAATATTGGATATTTTCAAGACTTGCTTGTCCTCTGTGTCATACAAATTAGGTTTATTAATATTGGGATAAACCAGTTAAATACAAAACAGTTGAACTGTATACATTTATGGTGAAACCTGTGAAAGCCTGTATTATACATTACTTCTATACTTAATGGCAGACTCAGAGATATTTATTCACTCAAAAAGTAAGTGTGATTTAATAAAGAGATCATGAAAAATGTAATTACTTGAATTACTTCATTTCTAAAATAATCATGGCAATTATTACCAATTAAAACAGCAGATACTGTTTTATACCTTTTGTAGCATCTATAAAATAAAATTAAACTACAAAACAGGACTTTTTCTTTCCCCCCCAACAGTCTTTTTAGGTCCTTACTGTTCAGTTGTGTCCAAGTAATAGAAAGCACTTTCCAATCACATAATTGAGGGCATCCAGTATTCATGCACTTCCCTGCTCCTGCAGCTTTCTACATGGCATAGTGTTCTAGAAGATTTCCCAGTCCTCAGGAAAAGCCTTGTGGTGGGATTAAAATGGGTTGGCAGAGACAATGGGTTAAAACAATGTGTTGGCTATCAAGCAGAACTAAGGCGCAATCTTCTTTGTGTACAGTCATTTTAAACTAATATAGTTCTTCAGAAGTTTGTCACAACCTCCACAAGGCCTAGGGAGACACAAATAAAACAGTTCTCTATTAAGGTAAAATGAATATTTTGAGAAATATAGGCAACAAGTTTGAATGGCCTGTAAATATATTGATTAATTTTTGGATATAGATAAAAAAACTCAATGATAAATCAACAATTAGCAGGATTTCTTTTCTAACCTTAGTATTATCAGCAAGTGGTAGTGATAATAAATATATTGGACATGATCTGTTCACATCGTAGACAGAGTGTTGCAAGCACAGGTATAAATAGGCACCACGATTGAATGTTTAGACTGAGAAGGCTGTGCATGTCATGCACTGATATTACTGTCTGAAATTCTCTGGATATTCAAAACAAGCAAGAATGAAAGTAAAGACTAGGTGGGAATGCTGATTAATGCACTTCATACTTACTGAATATCCTAATGATTTTCCTAAATGCATAGGCAGGGTAAGGAGAGGAAAAATAGAGCTCTATTGATGTGTAAAAGGATCGTTTCCATTGTCCTATAACAGAGCATCTGGTAAAAGATTGTGTAAGTGTGATATAAAAAATTCTCTGTGGCAAGTAAAAATGGATGGATTTGTCTCAGCTCCCCAAAATTTTGTTATACTTTTTGAAGTAAAGGTTTGTTCTGGTATATTTCTTCAATGGTTTGCCAACTTCTTTGCTTGAAATGGGCAGGAAAATTCATACATCTTTTTGGATGCATATCCATTTCTCCTAATGGTTGATGAAAAAAATAATTGGTGAAAAAATCCATAATTAGGTAAAATGTATATAATGCCTATATTTATCTAGCTTCTATAAACAACTTTGCTGTCATGTTCTGTATCAATTTGAATTTTCAGAGCCTCTCAGAAGTGAGCTCCATTTGGAATGCATTGTATTAGTAATTGGAGATCTAGGAAAAAGTAATGTCAAGGAAGTTCCTGGAAAGTCATACTTACAACAAAAGAAAGACAGGACTGCTAGTATTTCCATCCAAATGATGCATAAAATGCCCCAGTTTTGCCAAAACATATTCTTACCTTTACTTATGGTCCCTATACAAGTACCTTTGACTCCTTTTCTGTTTGAGAAGGATGGATAAAGAGTCTAATAAAATGGAACCAAACACATCTATAGTTTTGAACTTTGGAAATGCTCTATGAAGATGGGGAAGGGCCTCTGCTACCCTCTGTGCATTGACCTGGGAACCATCTGAAATCTCTTATGCTTAATTTTTGTTCCATAATTCAATTAAGATAAATGTAACACTACTCAGTTGGCTGTAGAAAGCCTAAATATTTGAAGATCCTTACAAGAATGGTCAAAACATTTTGCTGCCTAGGACAGCAAAGGACAAGACACCCCTAACTGTTCCATTTAGAGAAGCCCAACTGAACTACAATTGCATTTTTTTTTTTACTTCAAAACAGAGATGGAACAGTATCCCTCATTACATGTGAGAGGAGTTTGCTATTTTAGTTACATAGAGCTGATTGTATGGCAACGTAGCAATGTGTTTTCTAATACCTTGTTCCACCTCCTTACCTCTTTGTATTTTCAGCTTGAATTGTCTGCCTTGCAGTAGGGCCAGCCTGCTTTGTACAAAGTACTCAATGACTCCTTGTAAAACAGTTCAGACCCCTGTAGCCTCGACCTTCCCTCTTTTTAATTATTTCTGTTTTTTACATGTGACTATCCATTCTTTATATTTTGTTTTTTTATTTTTTAAAAAGTATAATTGGTTCTAAATCATCAATTAGTATAATTTTAAAGAATGTCTTGGTTGTAGATATTTTTGCCTGAATAAGTTTTATATCTCTGAATCTTGAATTATAAGCAGTTCCAAAATAGGTCTTGCTGAAATAACCAAGCTCTGGTACTTGGCTTGGGTTTTGTCCAATAAAGTGTGACAAAAGAAAGTGCCCTGCCCCGCCCTGCCTCATCTCATCTCACCTCCACTTTGAAGATGGTACTTCCTGGATCATGTAGGCAAGCCCAACCTTCATTTTTTTTCCTTTGGGGTTTACAATCAGCATGAACTCATAAGGAACCCATACTTTTCTATTGTAAATTAAAGGATTCTTCTCAGCCTCTGTCATGCTCCTCACAGTTCCTAGAGGAAGTCATACTTAGAGATGTAAATAGCCCTAGCTTTTTCAGGGCTTAGATGCTAGTAACCATTGGTAGAAAGGTAAGGAAACATTTAGTTATTTTTTATTCATTTATTCACATTTGTTGTAGCTGCCCAAACTGCAGTGGACTCTGAGTGGCATGCAAAACCAAAGCATTGTAGGTAGGAAAATAATTCTGTGTCTTCCTTCAGAGTTAAATAACAAACCTATTCCTGCTTAGCAAAGAACAGTAAGCTCTGCGGAAAGCAAAGAGTTCCTGAAAACTTCACTTTCTGTACAGCTTGCTAGATTGTCTCTTCTCTGAAAAACATGGTTTGAAGTTTATGATTATGTAAGTAAGAAAGTAACGAAAAGCTCCTAGAATTTTTTCTCTCCTTTAGAAATAAAAAGAGTATTGGGAATATTTGGACAGTCAAGGAAGTTCTCAACTAACTTAAGTGTTCCTCATTAGAGAAGGAAGATCAGAACATAAAGAGTGGTACATTATACAGTGGTACCTCTACTTACGAACGCCCCTACTTACGAATTTTTCGAGATACAACCGGCTCTGGCCCCAAAAATTTACCTCTACTTACGAACTCGCCTCGACTTACGAACCGGATCTGCGGCCATTTTCCGCCCGTTCCCCATGGACCGCGGCCATTTTTCCGCCCGTTCCACGTGGTCCGCGGCCATTTTTCCGCCCGTTCCACGTGGTTCGCGGCCGTTTTCTGCCCATTCCACGTGGTCCGCGGCCGTTTTTCCGCCCTGCCGTGTGGTCTGCGGCCATTTTCCGCCCGTTCCATGTGGTCTGCAGCCATTTTTCCGCCCGTTCCATGTGGTCCGCGGCCGTTTTTCCGCCCTGCCGCATGGTCCGCGGCCATTTTCCGCCCGTTCCATGTGGTCGGCCGTTTTTCCGCCCTGCCGCATGGTCCGCAGCCATTTTCCGCCCGTGCCACGTGGTCTGTGGCCATTTTCCGCCCATTCCACGTGGTCCGCGGGCATTTTTCCGCCCCTGACATGTGGTCCGCGGCCATTTTTCCACCCTGCTGCATGGTCCGCAGCTGTTTTTCCGCCCCTGACGCGTGGTCCGTGGACGCCGGAACGGATTAACGGTAATTACATTGAACCTTATGGGAAAAT